GGCAGCCCAGATGGGTTTGCCTCTGCGCTGCCAGTTGCTCTGCTTCCATTGCTGCAACCACCCCCACAGGGCATTTGCCACCATCCATGAGTCAGTATAGAGATAGAGCACCGGCCATTTCTCTCTTTCAGCTATATCCAAAGCCATCTGGATGGCTTTCACCTCTGCAAACTGACTCGATTCACCTTCTGCTTCAGCAGTCTCTGCAACTTGTCTTATAGGACTCCATACAGCAGCGTTCCACCGCCGATGCTTTCCCACAAGACGACAGGACCCATCAGTGAACAGGGCACATTGCTTCTCATATTGCTGCAGTCAAGATTAAAACCTAGCACTAAGTCATGCATGGGTTAGGACCGAATAGGATCCATGTGTGTTTTGGGACTACATTTAGAGCCAAAGGGTGCAATCCACCAGGTCCCAGGAGGGGACTTGGCCATCATCCTCCTGAGAAAACTCAGACTATTAAAAAGTCAGCCCAAATGCCCTCCTGCCTCAGATTCCCCATGGAAAATATTCTCCCATGGCACCAGCTGCATTGATGGGAGACCCTTGTCCATGAGCCAGTATCATTCTGACCATTGAGGTGACTTCTCCTGGGTGAGGGTGTCTCAGCACCGTCTCCAGGCTTCAGGTAGTCAGGCTGGCTGTGAAATGCTCTCCACTCTTGGTCCGATCTTTCCTGTTTTTAAGCAAAGAGAAGTTTAAAGGGGACATGACTGAACAGTTTAGGAGAGTCCTGGGGTCTCTGGGCTGCAATGCCCTTCCCAAAGTGAGAGACTGATTATTTTGCTGACCCCAGCATGCTGCTAGTAGGCACCTGAGGGGGGTAAAGCTGTGCGTGGCCCCAGTGAAGGATAAAGCTCCTCTCTTTAGGGGTTTGCCCCAGAGCTGGTCCATACAAATAGTAAACAGGGGCTGGAGAACATCCCACTCCAGGTCTGGTTTGGTGCTCAGGTGAAGCAGCTCCCAAACTGGCTCAGACCCCTGTTGCCCACCAGTGGGTCCATTATGCCACAGGAACCCCGCATGGTCATAGTGGCACAAAAGCAGCACCAAGTGGGACGAGCCAGAACATCCTCTAGATGCCCCTGAAATCAGCTTGAGCCGCAGTAATGCTATCACTGGTGTGGCGGTGGGGAGGGTCACACACACCCCCACCCCCCCACCTTAATCTGCAGATGTGAATGGGAAAGTAATGCTCTGTCTGGTAGTGGTGTTCAGGGTTAGCAGACCACCTCTGGGTCCTTACCGTGGGCTTTCTCCCACTCCAGGATAGTGGCTTCCACCAATGTATCTCCCCGAGGACAAGAAAGCCTTTCTGAATGCTTTCTCTCTCAGTAGGTGCTTTGAAGCCCTAAAGGGTCCCTGCCAGCTGGGCCTGGGGCAACCAGAGGGTCCCAGAGGGCCCCAGCAAAACTCCTCTGGCTGTCGTTGCAGCAAGGAAAAAGCTTTCTGAAAAGCTGATGCCCAGGGTGCTGGGGAGAAGTGGGAGAGCCGGGCTCCAGCCCCCTGATACCGCCCCTCTGCCCCTATAATCCGTGTGCTCTGTATGCACACGCACAGCTCTGCCGCCTGCCTGCATCACGGGGCGGGAGCGGAGGGGGGGAAGCATCACTGAGACTTTCTGCAAATTCTGGGGATCATAGGAGCTGCCCAGTCCCATTTGGATACAAAAATCTATTCCCCAGATTCCCATCCCTTTCCAGTCTTTCCCCCATTGCCTTTTCCTGCTGGCCAGCCAAGTTGCAGGGAGCCCCACGGGGGACCAGTGCCGGTGGCATCCTGCGAGCAGGTGGCACCGCAGCCGCCTTGCCGCACCCTCCTGCCGTGCCAGGGCTGCGCGTTGCCCAAGGAACATCTTGTTTGCCTTGCTAAGCTTCCGCCCTGGTTGTTTTTTTTGCACTCCTAGTGCTGCACAAGAGCTGTTTGCTGGAGGTGCCCATCGATTACCCCAGGCTGCCTGTTTTTCAGGGGTTTATTGTCCTTAATCTTTGACGATTGATGAGCTAAAACCCACCCAACACTACTGGCAAAAATTAATAATAAAATAAATTAAAATCCCTGCTTCTCTCTACTTGGCCTCTGGGAATCTGCATCGGCCCAGATGATATTTATGGCTCTCCTGGTGCAAGGGATCTGCAGGCTGGTGGCTCCCACCCGGCTCGGGACAAGCTGTGATCAAGGAGGTTGTTTTTCCCTGCAGGTGGCACCGCAGCCGCCTTGCCGCACCCTCCTGCCGTGCCAGGGCTGCGCGTTGCCCAAGGAACATCTTGTTTGCCTTGCTAAGCTTCCGCCCTGGTTGTTTTTTTTGCACTCCTAGTGCTGCACAAGAGCTGTTTGCTGGAGGTGCCCATCGATTACCCCAGGCTGCCTGTTTTTCAGGGGTTTATT